GACAGGCAGGTGACAGGGAGGTGACAGGTGACAGGTGACAGGCAGGTGACAGGGAGGTGACAGGCAGGACGTGGCCGTGCAGGGCAGCTGGAGAGGGGCATTCAGGGTGCCAGGGTGTCCCCCCCAGCCCGGGCAGGCAGGACCCCCCCTCACCTTCCTCTTGAGCTGCTGGATCTCAGCCTCGGTCACGGCGTGTTTGATCTGGAGCTGTGGGAGAGCCGGGGGGGCACGGGGTGGGCACGGGGTGGGCACAGCCCCCCCCCCGGGCACCCCCTGCCCTTCCCCGACCCCTCCTCACCTCCTTGAACTTGTGCACCAGCTTCTCGGGGTCCATCTCCACGGGGGACAGCGCGTCCTCGTTCTCGGCCAGCTCGAACACCTCGATGGCCATCTCCCCGCTGGGGAACATGGGGCTCATCTCCTCCTCCTCGTCCGTGGCGTATTCCCCGGTCTGCGGGGGGCACGGGCCGGCCTTGGCACCTGGGGGTCCCCAGCGTGCCGCCCCCAGCCCCGTGTCCCCTGTCCCCTCACCTCCTCGTCATCCTCGGTGTACTGGGTGTAGCGCTGCTCCATCATCTCCCGCTGCCACCGCTCCTGCTCCAGCGTCTGCTGGATCAGCTGCGCCACCTCGCTCTGCTCGCCCGGCTTCTCCCGCCCGATCAGGAACCTGGGGGGCACCGCGGGTCAGGGGGCACCGAGGGGCACAGGGGACATCCATGGGACACAGCCAGGGGACACCCGGGGGACACAGCCAGGGGGGACAGGGGGACATCCCTGCGCCTCTCTGGGAGCGCTGGGTTCAGGGGGCGTTGTGGGGGCTGGGGATGAGTTGGGGGCACCACGGTGACACTCTGGGGGGAGGTGGGGCACTCTGGGGACAGGCTGAGGGGACAGGCCGTGGGGCAGGGATCCCCAGGGAGCTCAGCACGCACTGGGGGGGGTCTCGGGGGTCTCGGGGCTCCTACCGGACGCGGCCCTTGGTGTTCCTGAGCACGGAGGCGGCGAAGCTCTGCGTGACCCCCACCAGGCTGGTGCCGTCCACCTCCACGATCAGGTCGTTCACCTGGATCCTGGGGACAAGGACAGGTCACAGCCCCTGGCCGGCCCCGGCAGGGCTGCGGCAGCCGGCAGCTCCCGGCCCTACCTGCCGTCCCGGTGCGCCGCCCCGCCTTCCGTCACCGTCTTGACGAAGATTCCCAACTTCTCCAGGCCCATGTCGGCCCCCGCGCCCATCCCGATGATGCTGATCCCGAGCCCTTCCGAGTCTGCGGGGACACACACAAGAGCCGTGTCCTGCCCGGGTGGCACCTCCAGGGCGCCCTGGGGGTCCCGGGGGGCGCTTTGGGGGGCAGGAACCCACCTTTCTCCAGCTCCACGGGGAACAGGTCGAGCCTCTCCACCCTCTTCTCCAGCTCGTACTCGGCCGAGGCCGCCATGGGATCCACGTCCTCATTGCGGCGGTCGTAATCCTCGTTGGAGTAAGTGCTGAACACCTGGGGGGCGAGGGGGGCTCAGCCGGGGGGGAAACCCCCCTGGGACCCCAAAATCTGGGATGGGAACCCCAAAAAACTGGGCTGAGAACCCCAAAAATTTTGGCCTGGAACCCCAAAAATTTAAAATGAGAACCCCAAAAATTTGGGATGAGAAGGGTTAGGGTAGGAACCCCAAAAATTTGGGCCTGGAACCTCAAAAATTTAAGATGAGAACCCCAAAAATCAGAGCCAAAACCCCAGAATGCTGCGCCTAAAACCTAAAAAACAGAACCAAAGACCCCAAAACCCTGAGTCTGGAACCTAAAGAACCAGAGTCCAGAACCCGATCTAGAACCGAGTCTAGAACCCGATCTAGAACCGAGTCTAGAACCCGATCTAGAACCGAGTCTAGAACCCGAGTCTAGAACCCGAGTCTAGAACCCGCTCTAGAACCCTATCTAGAATCTAGTCTAGACCCCCAAGAGTTTGAGCCTGGAACCCAAAAATCTGGGATGGGAACCCAAAAAATCGGGAGGGAAGGGAGGGAAGGGAGGGAGGGAGGGAGGAAGGAAGGAAGGAAGGAAGTGTCGGAAGGAAGGAAGGAAGGAAGTGTCGGAAGGAAGGAAGGAAGGAAGTGTCGGAAGGAAGGAAGGAAGGAAGTGTCGGAAGGAAGGAAGGAAGGAAGTGTCGGAAGGAAGGAAGGAAGGAAGTGTCGGAAGGAAGGAAGGAAGGAAGTGTCGGAAGGAAGGAAGGAAGGAAGTGTCGGAAGGAAGGAAGGAAGGAAGTGTCGGAAGGAAGGAAGGAAGGAAGGAAGGAAAAGATGGGGTGCCTGTGGTGCCTGAAATCCCTGGGGGTGAACCCCAGACCCTCCCTGGCCCAGCTGGGATGTGCCACCAGGCCGCTGTACCCAGGCTGGTGACATTCTGTCCCCTGGGGGCTGTCGGGGAGGGGCTGGCAGATGTCCCTGGAGGGGCCCCGGCCCCTCGGTGCGGCGGAGCGCTGGATTAGGGACAACACACGGGGATAAAGGCTGGCCACAAAGGGATGAGTGTCAGGGGACAAAGGCCGGTGACACCCAGGGACGGGCAGGACCCCCCCGTGTGGCACCCAGGGACGGGCAGGGGACACACTAATGTCCCCCTGTCCACAGGAAGGGCCTGGGGGGCTGTGGGGGTCTCCTGCGGTGCCCCCCATCCTGTCCCTGGGCCCGGGGGGATTTGGGGTGTGGGAGGGGCCTGGAGCGGGTGCCAGAGGGAGGGGCTGGAATGTGCCCCCAGTGCGGGGCTGGGAGGGGGTCCCCAATGTCACCCACCCCCCTCCAGTGGGTTTGGGGGGCTCAGCATCACCCGGGCAGGGATTTGGGGTGCTCTGACACCTGGGTGTCCACCCCACCCACCCCCACAGGTGCCCCCCAGCTGAGAGGCTTCGGGTTGAGCAGAGCACGCCAAAACCCCCCCATCCGCGGGGTGAGAAAAGCACCCAAAAAACCCCCAAAACCCCCATCCACGGCCAGGGCACCTCCCCCCGGGCCGGGCCGGCTGCATCCCCCGAGGCCACCCTGGGCACGCAGCCCCGCAGCTCAGGGCCACCAGTGTCCCCTGGCCGGGCCACGGCAGTGCCTGTCCCCCGTCCCAGGTGGGGCCACCCACCCGCTCTGACTCAGAGCCAGAATATAGGCCGGGCTCTAAAAATAACCCGGCTCCGGCACAAAGCAACCGCTGCTCCTGCGGTCGGGGGGATCCGTGCGGGAGGGAACACCCCAAAATAGCTGCACGGCCCCTTTATCCCCCCCCCCC